ATAGCCCCTTTACTGCTGCGCAACAATAAAGGAAACTTCTAATGGTTTCTCGTGTCCAGTGAAGTTATTGGCAGTCATCTCTGGGCAAAAACCTCGTTTTGGGTCCAACAATTTTGGCGAGCCAGCCAGGAGCCAGCTCGGACTTCGGCGCCAGTACACTATCAATGGGAAGATGGGCCCCGAACATTTTTTTTTGTTCAGTCCCTTCGAGAGTGTGGTGTCATTGAACACTGGAACAGTCTCTGAAATCAAGAAACCAAGAGCCCAAGGGGTCACTGCAAGGGATGGAGACTGAGAGCATGGCTGGGTGAACAGGTGACTGCTGGAAACAGTGGCAGAGAGATGAGGGTGAGTAGCATTTGCCTCTAATCAGGGTTTGGGCAGGATCCCTGGCGAGGGCGGTTGAGTCCCTACCCAAGTCACCCGGGCCTGGGGTCTGACACCCCAGGGGTTAGGCACCAGGTAATTGGGGTTTGAGTCCCTGGGGTGGGGTTTGAATCCCTGACAGAAGTCACCCGAAAATGGGGTCTGGCCAGACCAAGAGCACAGGAAAAAAGCCACAAAGAGTTCAATTCCCTTGCACCCCCCTGGAAGGTGTGGTTGAAAGCTTTTGTGAATTAACCCATGGAGATAAGAACTTAACTACAGGTACCTTAAGTCACTTGTGCGCCTCCATATGGCTGAATTACCTTTTGGACAATGGGCAAAGGTGGCTGGTCGGCAGCTGTTTTAAACTGAGTGAAATTGCTAGCTTAAGGAGGTTGGATTATTTGGGGAAACCTAAAGATAAGTACGCAGCTGTATTCCAAAAAGTGGCTACAGATGAATCAGTAAGAACAAAGTGTGGGATCTTTGTGATTCAAGGGGAAGATGAGGCTGACAGGGTAGTGCAGAGAAACCTAATGCCCTGGTGTTGCAGGAAGAAAAGGAGGAGGTCCCTCCACCCTATGCTCATTTTAGCAAGATCCTTCACCCCCGCAGTTATACCCCTCACTGGTCCCTTCTTTTTCAAACCCCCTTAGTGATGAAAGGTCACCTCTGACCCTCACCTTTCAAGGAAAGAATAATGGTTATGGGGAGAACCCAAAGCGCGGGGAGTCAGTAAACCCTCAGCATTGGTTATTCCTGTTAAGGCAGACACCAATACCTGATGGGATGGGGAGGACCGAGATGGTATTTGTTTACACTCCCTTCTCTACTACTGATTTGTATATTTGGAAAAGTAATATCGCGAAAACCCTAATAAAATGGCTGAATTGGTGTCATCCATAATCTGAACCCATAACCCAGCTTGGGGAGACCTACAGACGATGTTGAATGTGTTTTTGACAAGTGAGTAAAGGAGGTTAGTCATAGCTGTGGGAACTAAAATAGCCAAAAGGAGGGCAGCTGCAGCCTTAGGTAATCAATAGGTGGGAGCTGCAGCGGCAGCTGCTCCAGAGGTGGAAGCCTTGTTTCCTGAGAACGATCCAAACTAGAATCAACAGGATCGTGCACACCTACAGAGGCTGCAGACCTACCAGCAGATTATAGTGCAGGCACTGAAACAAGGAGTTCCGAAAGTAAATACAGTGGTACCTCGGGTTACGAACTTAATTCGTTCCGTGACTCTGGTCGCGACCCGAATT